TATGGTCGAGACATGATTAATAATGCAATTGTATCGCATATGGCAAGTAATAACAAATAACAACCGCAGGAAAGTATACGTAATTTACGTTGAGAAAATGTAAGTACTGAAAGACTATTGCCAATGATACCTAGAGAGAAAAAAGACATACATCCTTGATTCAATCTGAATCGAAAACAAAAATAACACCATATGTTTTATTTTATTCCGATTGCTTATTTACCTAGTACAACTAAATATGGAACAACAACATTAATTCGATCTTCAATTTCATCTAAAGATGATTGTGTTTGATTTTCACAAATACTTTCAACAGATGTTGATAAAGTTGTTGTTATTAAATCAATTTGTGTATCTAAACAAAAAAAAACAAAGAATTAAATTGTATATTATAAACATATGGAAGTAAAAGAAATTTTTGTTTCGCCTTTAAATTATTTATTAAATATGAATTTGAACAATTCTTACACTTCTGATAAATGATTTTATGTGTCGTGGCCGTTGACATTGATAAAAACAATAGTATCTAAAAAAAACAAAAATAATAGAAAATTATCTCTTTGATGAATACAAAATACTGTCAAAAGGCAAATATTTTCTTTTCTATTTCTTTTTCTTCGTTTATCAATCGGCAGTCAATAGCGCACGATAGAAAGAGAAAATGATACGATAAAAATATATAAACAAAGAAGAGTTTCTTGAAGTCTTCTTGTCTTATTGTTCGTGCTAGAACCCATTTGTTATCGTATAAAAATACGATTATTTATGCATGACAAATCTCGAGCGAGACACATTGTGAAGAAGGCGAAAAAAGACCGGAAAAATAAAAGAAGAAGAAAAGAGAAAAGAGACTAATACAAGTGTTGAGTATGGACAATCAATGACGAAAATTATAACAATGGTAATAAAAGGACAACATGTAGCTCTTATTATGACTATATGACAAAAATTATTTTTCTAAACTCACATGAATACCAGAAGATGCAAAACGCCATGAGCTATTTGTACTCCTACGCTTGCTAATTACTCGTAACTGGAACGAATAAAGCAAAGAGAATGCCTTTGCATTTATCCAATCTGTTATTTGAGTGGTGCCAATTCAATCATCAATGTTAGCGAGTTTTTCTTCTAAAAGGATGCTCTTAATCAGCTCAGTACAGAATTTGCTTACAAATTATGAACAAGTATTTAGGTCACTTATTATAATTCCTATGTAGTATGTATAACAGATAGTTGAAAGTATTATCCATTTTAAATTATCTAACAATTAATTGAAACGTAGAAAAATATTCAGATAAAAACAAATGTTAACGGAAGCGTAAATGAAAAAAACCTACATTATTTCAAGTCTATAGAATATTTTCTCTTATGAATGCTAGTTCTTAAATAAAGTAGCGAATCATATTCTAATAAAGTTTAGCTTCAAAATCATGATATTCGAGAACCATATCAAAAGGAAGGTATTTGTATTAGGTAATAATGCTATAATCTCGACATGAAAGAAACAATATATTTGTTTTCTTGACATAAAATATATTCTTCTTTCTAGTATAGATTAAATGCATTTTTTTCTATGAAAAAAAAAAAGATTGTCCATCAAGATAATCTATAAAACTAAGTCTTTTGCAGAAATCCTATATTTTTACATATATTGAAAAACTCAATTGCGAATAATAGTGTTCATAGTCAGAAACATTTATATTACGATAATATAAATATTATTGAACGTATATTAGCTATTTTTTTTAATCAAATTAATCTTACTATTGATCAAAAAATATATTAGAAGTAATTCAAGGTTAAGCTAGTTATACTTTTATAAATATATTAATCATTATGATGTTCAAAAAAGTGAACATATGTTGTGTCTAATTTAGTTGTTTTTTGTGTATCATATCTCCTGAGAATATTCTATTAATAAAATACTATTAATCACAACACTGTCTATTGGGTATAAAATGACTAAATTGAAAATTCATATACTCAAATTAGACTACAGTAGATTTTTCATCAACAACGAGGCCAACTCAAACAAATAATAATTGAAAAGAGAAAAGAAAAATGATAAAATACTAAATTTTCAACATCAATTAATGATCTGATCTCGACACCTATAAATAACAGATTAAAATTTAAGCTGTTTTATGAAAGATGCTTATCTGAAATCCAATTTTACTTACTAAAATTAAAAGTTATCATAGTCGAGCTACCTTAACACTATATCCCATATATCATTATCATATGTGTTTATAGAATCATTCCTTATACATACAAATACTGATGTATTAAAACCTCGACAAAATAAAAATAAATAAATTTAAATGCTATTTTATATGAGGAGAAGTATGTTTTCCTGTTTGGTTATTTAACAAGCAAAATAGACAAAAAAATTTTAAATACGCAAAATGACAGCATATCTTAGAATCTTACGTTGCAAGGTCCTCGAATAAAAAAAAATAATTGTTTTAATAAGAACAAGATGAAAAAAAAAAAAAAAAAAAAGAAGTGGTCTGATTATATTCTCTTTTAAATGAAAAATTGTATGAGTATAAAAGACACTGAGTTTAGATGAGTGCTCTAGAAATTCTTTTCGACATCAATAAGAAAATAATCTTATCTCTAAAAATAGAGTAAATCAACCAAAACTCTTTTGATGAATGCCAAGCAGCATATAAAATTATATTTTTTATTAGGAATAGAATTCAATAATGTACAACAAACATATCGAATGAATTCTACTAATTTCACTAATTTATTTCTTAATGGTATAGACAGTTGAAAAATGACTAAATTAAGAAAAATGTCATTTTTTTCTTATTAGACATAAAAAGAAAATTTGTTTTCAATTTGACATTTATTTAAGTGGACTATTGAAAATTTGCTAGTCAAAGGTTCAATCATAATTTATTATAAGTAATTTTATTTCATGCATCATAAATATGGAAGAGTAGAAAAGAAAATGAGAATTCATGAAGACATTCTAAGCTAGAAATGATTATAAAAAAATATTGTCTTATTATATTTTCAGTCTTATTGCTGTCTTGTAGATTCATTCTATTCCGAACGATGCTGTGTTCTAGGCTTAGAATAGTAATAATAAAAAACAAAAAAAAAAGAATTTTCATGACAGCAGCGATAAACCTACTTAGATACCACAAAATTTATTAACGTCTACATTTGGATGTATGTCCAACCTGAAATCAGACTAACCCGAGTATGTACACAATGATATATAGTAGAAATTAGAAAAGTGAGAAGAGAGAGAGAGAGAGAGAGAGAGAGAGAGACAGAGAGAAGAAAAAGAAGAAAAACAAAATGAACAGTATAATGGAGAAGCTTTGATGTGATTAATTCTTTCTTGTCTTCTTTTTTTTTAAATCTTATTGTACCCGTCATTTTCACTTAACTCCAAAATTAAGATAAAAGAATTTCCTTATGTCTTCACTAGATTTACAAATTCATTAACATACCACATTAAAAAATATGAAGAAAATAAAAAAAGAACAAAGACTGAGAAATATTGAAAAAAAAAGAACCACAAAAAGCTTTTTCCGGAACACTGATGAGTCCTTGTCAGAGCTATAACCGGTCGAGAACTTACGCGTCGATTCAAAATATTTTTCATACTGGTAAAAACCAACCAGATTTTTAAGTCATTTTTAATTGGTTAAAAAAAGTGACCTCAGAAAGTACTTGTTTTCTTTTTTCTTTTTTGCTCATATTTTTGCAAATGTTCTGGAGGAAATATCATATTATAGAAGTCTATATCATTAGGATATTTTGAAGATGAATATTTAATGTTTGTCTGAGGCGAGAAAAAAAAAGAACATTTATCTTACACTTAATCACCAAGTTCTAAACTTAGAGATTTTTTCACTCAGAGTTCACGGAGAAATATAATTTTTCTCGTCGAATGATAGTGCAAATGTTAATATAATTTCTAAATAAACATCAATACAATCAATTGAGAAGTGTAATTTAAATAAAACGGTTTATATGCACTTTTTTAAGAAGTAAATAAATGTGAGTGCGCGAACATAAGGAAAAGTATAGCTTATAATTTTCGAAATAACACTTTTTGATTATTTTAATAAGACCAATTAAAGTTGCTCTCAATACATTTTACCTGATACAAATAGCACATCTAGATGATTTTCGTCAAGCGATGAGGAATCGTCAAACCGATTACAACTCTACTCCTTTCTCTTTTATCATAATAAAAAGATAAATAGAGAAGTATTAGTTTTCATGCTAGACTCGATGATAATCAACGCCAAGCTTTAGAATTCTCAAGCACTAAACACTTCTAGACTAGTTTATCTAGTCAATTAGTTGCTTCTCTTCTTCTTCTTCTTCTTTTATTCTATGATTATAAATAGTTCTTAATGCATATAGTTCGTAATATCCAAAGCGTTAAAGATAATGAGAAACGACAAGATCTCAAATGCCATTCAATGTCTTGCTTGACATGCTATATTCAGGTTTATTTACTTGTTTTATCAGATTGTCTTTGATAGAAATTCAATCATGTAGAAAATGATGATGAGAGAAGATTGTTTTTATTCATAAATATAGATTTGATAGAATCTCATAATGATCAAAAACAGTATTTTTCACAATGTGAAGAGTCCATTATATTTATTCTTCTTCGTATTGAGATAATGAACGATTAAGGACAAAGTAAATTCAAAGAATAATATATATATATATATGTATATATAAACACAAACGTTCAATTTGCTAATACTATGTTTTCAATTTAGCGTGATAAGCTCACAAAAAATAAATGTATAGCAGATTTCGTCTCACGACAAAAAAATCCATATCATTACATTACCAGTATTTCCTGGAAAAATAATTATTGGGTGAAAAAGAAAGAATATGCATGTTGAGTACTCAACTCTATTGGTCTAAACTTATAGTTATTTCCTGCGTTTCATGGAATTTATTGAAAATATAGGTAAAAAAAAAGATGTTTAGAAAAAAAAATTACAAAGAGTTTAGTCATCTGAAGATGATGAATCCACATCAAGGCCTTGAGCAGCTTGAGCTTGTCTAAATAATAGTTTATATTTTATGGATGACAATAAATATTATATTAATAGTTTATTATCGTTTACCTCGTCTTTTTTCGTCGACGTTTCTGTTTTTCTTCATCCTCGCTATCACTACTACTTGAAACATCATTATTTGTTATTGGAATTGACGATGAACCACCAAAAGTTACCGCTTTTGTTGAATGTGTTGTTGATATTGAACTAGGAAGTGGTGGAGCCGGTGTTAGAGAAACAGAAGCATTTGAAGGTACTTGATATGTAGCAGATGAGCCCGAACTCGATAAAGCCTTTGGTACAGATGGTGTAATCGAAGATGATGGAATTGTAAGACTTGAAGAAGGTGTTTGATATGAATGAGTAGATGTTGTTGACGTTAAATATGAAGAAATTGGTGGTGCAGGAGGAATATTTGATGCATTCGTTGGCAATGTTGGTGGAATAGATGCACCTATACAAAAAAAGTCATTAAATCTCGAATATGAGAACTTTTCAATAAATTGCATAAATGCGAAAAGTCACGACCCTTGTTTAAATGTATCGTTTGGATTAAAAACGGTGACTTAGTACTAAATTAAGCGAAAAAAATATCAAATATTACACCGTAAATGTTGTACTCTCATCTTTATTAGAAAAAAGAAATTGGAGAAATCTTGACCTTGTTATTGGATTAAGATTTTAAATACCTGTAGTGTTGTTACCGCTTGGTGTGTTCAATGTCGATGTTATTCCCATTGTTGAAGCTGACGGTGATAATGTTGTTTCTGTTTTTGTAGCTGAAGGTGATGATGTTGTTTCTAATGTTACAGCTGACGGTAATGATGTTGTTCCTGTTGTTGGTGCTGATGACGATGTAGTTCCTAATGTTGGTAATAATGATGATGTTATGCCTGTTGTTGGTACTGATGATGATGTTATTCCTATTGTTGGTGATAATGATGACGTTATTCGTGTGGTTGGAACTGATGGTGACTTTATCGATGTTGATGGAATAGTGCTAGGTACTGACTTTGATGTCATTAAATTTGGTTTGTTTCGTGATAAATAGGGAACAGGTGAATCAGGTGGACTTAACTCATCGTCCGATGAGTCGCTACCATCTCCTGTAAAAATAAATGGAAAACAAAAATTAGATAATTTAGTTGTCCTTAAAAAATGAACTGTTATGACTTATGTTTCGAGTGTTTTTCTTTTTTTTTCTTTTAGAATAGCTTCTAGTATAGAAGTTAATTGCTCAAGGAGCGAATGCTAACCTGCTCGAATAGGTTCTAATGGCCGTGTTTTAATAGTTGTAGGAAGCGAATGTGGTTGCAATCTATGATATTGTTGACTTGATAATGAAGAGGTTTCACGAGGTATTTCAGATAAAACAGAATCAATATCTGATAGAGTTGGAGTAGTTACACGCTCATCACGACCTGATAGTCCATGAGGTTTAATATGATTAAGTGATGTATACAATGATTGACCATAACTATTAATCGATCCGTTTGGACGGTGAGTATAAATATTAAAAAGAAGAGGATTAACTGGAATAAGATTTTCATATTTTGTTTTCCATTGTTTATATGATATATATCCTAAAGGTGGATCATCGAATTCACCATCATTATCATTGTCAGAAATCGAGGAAGTTTTTCTTTCTTCACTATGATCATTTCTTAAATGAATATTGCCTGAAGTATGTGATCGAACTTCATTGTCGTATTCATCATCAGTACTATCTTTGTCACTATTATTATCATTAAATTCCCGTAGTCTTTGAAGTTGTGTTTCATTATATATAGGCCGAATATAAGCAGGTGTTGGTCCAAATACTGGATGCTCATAAACTTGAACAGGTTCAAATTTTTCTGTATGTACTATTGGTATTGGTTGCTGTCGAGTATGTTTCATGACAGAACTAATATTTCTTGGTAAAATTTCTGATGCTCCATTACCCAACCATCGATAGGTTTCACTTGATGAACCAATACCCGCTCGTGATAACGCAACTAATGAATCTTTACGATAAGGATTACAATTCATGGTTCTTAAATATTCCTCATAATTTCGACCCGGTAATGAACTTGCACCAAATGCACGAAACTCAGATACTTGTGGTGAGAGAAGATGTTGATATCGTTCAAGTAGACGATCATGATTATAATTTAAACGTTGTTGTTGTAAAAAATGTTGACGAATCATATTGAAAATAGTTTTATATCTTCAAAAATACTTTCTTAGGTTAACAATAAATATTAAAAAATAGTATTTAAATTATCGATAATGAATGAACTTTAAAAAATTCATGCATCAATTAAACAAGCGAATTTTAATAGGTTTTTCTTTATTTAGAGAAATTGATATTGATGAAATGTTAGTTAGAACTTTTTTTCATAGGATTATAACTAAGTCTATTTACGAATATAAGAAAAATTATAGAAGTAAATAGCTATCGATCAATTTACAATGGTTTGCACGTGTAATTAGGTTGTCATCTTTGGAAATTCTATGAGAATGTTTGTACAGTTTAATACAGAAATTAATTTGATATTAGAACAAGCAATATTATTGTTTTTTTCCTAAGCACAACCTGAAAAAAATATCTATGATCTTATGTTGTTCTTGTTTTTTTTTTCGTTGATATTATTATTCTAACCAACAATCTTTAATTGATTTTGTCAGAATACTGCGAAATTTGGTTTGATATCATAATTTAGTGTTTGTTTATTTTAATCGTTGTTATTTTTTGTCAGAATAAGAATGATGATAAAAATTATTGTAAAATAATTCTGATTGAAATGAATCTTATTTGAATATGTAAGACATTGACTTCAGTCTATTCTAACAAACAAATAAATTTAAAGAACACTTAAAATAAAGAAACAGATATTTGTTATTCTAACCTTGATTTCTTCTACTGAATTAGAAAATAAATGAAAAGAATAATGTATTTTGATCGTTTAGTCATCAAATAACATATAATAATCAGCTAATGGATTCCTCTTCTATATCATTTATAAGAAAAACAACAATTTCTGCAAATACATACCCAATACAATATTCGTTTAAAATAATATGTAAATATTACGCATATAAGAATGCGTTTGAATCATAATACTCGATACAGTCAAAGCGTTTTTTTTTTGTGATCAGCACAAATATCGATTAATTCTAGCTTGTTCTTGTATATCTATGTATATATACACAAAAGAACGAAAAAAGAGACCGTAACTATCAATATAAATATATATTTATTAATAGGAACGTAAAAAAAGAAAACAAGATCCAATTTTTATAAAGAAAAAAAAAATAATCCATAATTTTCTTTTTTGTTTTATTTACTCTATTTTAATAATCATCAATAAATGACCTATTTTATTTATTGAACATTTATCTAATATAATAAAATACATCCGTTCGTTTCAACTTGTGATTATATTTTTATTCAAGGTTTTGCCATGGTTTATTTAGTTATTGAAAAAAACCAGACAGGCAAACAAGCAACAAGGACATCGCATTTACACGTCATGCTTCATTGCAATATATATAAATGTCGTTTTTTTTTCTCTCCTCTCAATTCATTTATATTCAATATTTAAATGGAAGAGAAACATGGAAGAAAAAGAAAATCATTTTCTGGAAACGAAGAGAGAAAAAAGACAGAACAAAAATGAATAATTCCAATCAAAAATTCTTTACCTTGAAAACACCTGCACACATTTTTCGGAAAGAAAATCTATTTTTACAATTGATTCTTTTTTTGTCTTTGTAATAGGTAAAACTATTTTTTTTTTGCCATTGTCCCATTTCAATTTTTACTTTCTTTACTTTTCATTCCATCGTATAAACAAGGACGATTGTAGTAGAGTAGGAGGAGAAAAGTCGTTGTTGTATGACTTTCCGGTGTACGTGTATGTTACCACACGCTATCGTCTTCCGCCCGGAAAGAGATGAAGAAGCGTAATAATAACGGTGGCACAATTCTTTCCATAGCGGATCAAGCATTGAACGTAGTTGCTGCTGATTATAAGAAAAACGATTCAATATAATCAGTGACTAGTAGAGTTTACTCGTGACAATTTATCCAATTGACAATCCAATGGTAGTTCGTCTATTTTTATACTTGACTCATGTTATCATAGCTGTCACAAATGTTATTAACAGCGATGATGAATATTTCAACAAGCACATACCTTTTTGTATAAATCAAATCAACTTCAATGAAAGAACATATAAAAAAAACTAAATTTTATTTTTTAAATTTTATTTAGTTGTAATGCAACCTCATACAATTATCAATCAAACATTATATTCATATTGTAAAGAACAATATGAATTTAATATTCAATCAATGTTTATTAATTTAACGACGTACGTCATTTCTTTCTTTATGTTTTTTTTTATTTGATTTGCTTGTTTTAATGATCATCTCATGACGGAACTTGGTTTTTTTTCATAGATGGCCGTCGGGATTTATTTATGCTCGTAATCCGCATCAGAAACTCGGTATGAAGTTTCAGTTATGATGTGAAAGAAAGTAGTTATAGAATTAATTAGAGATTTTTTTTTATACACAGATGATGATTATTATACAACACTATTATCCATACCACAATGTACCATGGAATTACGAGCATCAATTGGTGATCATATTCGATTTGTTTTTTATCCGATTTTTAATATACGAGATGATTATGATCAAGATTATTTTATTTCAATAACAAGAGTACCGTGTTTAAAAATTAGAGATGTACGTTTAAAATATTGCAGCATCGTATAATACTCTTTTTCTTTATTTAGCATCATGAAACAACAACCTTCGATTGTCCTATGTTGTCTGATAAAAGCAAATCAACATCATTGAATCGTCAATCTGATGACTACCTATCTAAGAGTAATATAGTTTATCTTGAATTTATTCAACCACCTAGTTTTCCTAATGATTACGATGATAATTTTCATCAATTTAAACTATTTTTTACATCATTTACTCCAAAAATACATGTTGGTGTTAATGATGATTTATTTATTTGTCCAATGGAATATCTCATTGATTGTGATGATTCATATTGTGTACATGGAAATGCTCGTTGTAATGGTATAAATGAATGTCGTTCGAAAGTTGATGAAGAATTATGTACTCGTGAAAAATCAAATTCAAGATCTATTTATGATTTCTCATATTTCATAATCAATATTAGATACATATTGATGTTTATTATAATATTTATACTTTAACACAAGGACAAAGTTTTTCTTGATTATGACATCGACATGGTTGATCGAATTTACATCGGCAATGGAATGCATATGATTTACCACAACCAATAACTGAATAACGACCAACAGGAATATAACCACAAGCGTCAATTTTTGTTGTACCAATTGTTGGTTGTCGACGAAGTGACGGTGTATTACGACGATAACCTTTTATATTCAATAGAAAAATTAAACAAATAATTATTTTCTTTTGTTTATTTTCATTTAATAACATACCGAAAAGTCCATTATAATTAACAACAGCTTTAGGATCACTTAAAAATAATTCATGACCACGAATTTCATCAATCGAATGACCTAAAACATCAATCACTCTTAATTGCTGTCTTGTTTTTTAAACTTTTTTTGTTTTTCTTTACCTGAACCAAATTTATTTCGAAGTGATAAATAATGATAACCATGACCACTTGTATAAAAACGATCATGTACTCGACCTGCAATTGATTCATGAGCGGCTGACTAAACAGAAAAACTCAAATTATGATATATTTTACTAAAGAAAATATTTTCTTTACTTGTCCCGATCCTTCTAATGCTTTTCGTATGCCAAAAAATTTAAAATAATTATCAACATGATGATCTAATTGTGCATTGTATGGTGGAATAACTGAACCTAATTTAGGATTAGCTATTGAATAATCATTTGAAATATTCGACACTGCTTTAGAATCAAGAATAAAACTTCGTTCTCGATCGAATTGAACTTCAGGTGGTGGTGTTGGTGGACACCGGTATAATTTATTATGACGATATGAACTAGTAGCACGAGTTGGTGGAACAAACGATGATCGAAATGTTGTTTGTCTTTTACCAGCAGATTTGTGTCGTCTTCTATTCAAAGATGCATCAGCTGTTTGACTTCTTGCTGGTTGTTCAAGTGTAGGAGAAGTCGTTGTACTCATGCTCATTAAAATATGACTGCAAAATGTTAAGTTGCTTGGTATCCTTATACTTTCGTGCAGTTGTGTGCACAATTATAAAAGAAAAAGAAAATAACAGCAATTCTTACATAGACACGACCAAACTGCTACGATGACAAAAACAACATTTTTGCCAATAATGTATTTTAATGCCGATAGAGAAACGAGACGCAACATTATAGAAGCATTTCAAATAAAAAACGTTTTTTCTTCTTCTTACACTTTATATGTTACCGCCTTCGGACACCCTGTCAAACATTGCTGTCAATAAATGTGAAGAGAAAAAAAATTTTATAATGGACTTTCAGAAAATAAAATGTTTTTCAAAGTCGATAATGTAACAAGTTGTTGTTAAAATAATAGAACTAGTTTGATCGATAAGATTAGTTCTATGATGCATGACGGTAGTTTTATTTTAAGACAAGTAGATAAATTATTTACATAATTTTCAAAGTTAAATGAAAGTCTTCAATCAGTTATGTATAAACATATAAAAATTGATGCTGTTGAAATATTGTCACAGCTATTATTTGTAATCTCTTGACGTATTTAGTAAATACGGCATTTATATGGTTGAATTTTGTCTTCAGAACATAACTCACATATTTGTTCTTTGTTAAATATATTCTGATGAATAATCAATCGAACAGTACTGAAATGTATCAAAAGATGAAGAAATGGATTAATATTCATTCTCAGAGAATTTCTCTGATAAGTTATTTACTATTAAATATAATTACAATTTTCAATAGTGTAACGTAAAAATCTCATACTATTTTTGTACACGATTACATTTTGATATAGTGAAAATTGTCGTTCTCTCACTATGACAAAATATTATTATAAATTTTACTATTGTGCTTCAGTCTCAAATTTAGCTTGAGAAGTGCTTTGCATAATCATTTCGCCTGAAACGAATTTTTATTATTTTACTACCGTACTTTAATGTTTACTAGTAGATACTATAGACAGTATAGTAGTATAATATTACTAACAGATCATAGAGTTGGATTTATGAAAATGTTAAAAAAAAAACATATGTGCAATACAGATTGACATAAACTTTTCAAATTTAAATGTTTGCCATAGATGACAACGGATTTATACAGAAAAATAACAGCTTTAAAGTCTATTAAGAATTTTCATCATCAGGTCCCGAAGTGCTATTTTTGATATTTGTGTTTAATGAAAGTTATTCAATATTATCCTCTTTTTTCATATTAATATCAACATCTTTGTCTTCTTTTTTGTCAATTTCTCCATAATTCTTTACGTTCTTAATATGATGTATGAGTTCGTTTGACAACGGACTATAAGCTGTTTCAGCATTTTTGAGTAAGTATACTTCTTTTTTGGGTCATCTCATCTGATAATCGGCATGTTCAACACCATCGTTAGGGAATATTAGGTTTATAGATCAATCTTCATTTCTTTTATAACTACACGAATAGGAACATTTATTCAATGGGTATTGGCAAACGATAACTATTATGCATAAATAAATATTTAAACAAGAAAAATATAAGAAATACACTACAATGATAGAAAAAAGTCAAAATCAGGCCAATGTCACGGGTGTATAAAATGAGTCATTACTTCCATTTATTAATAACTATCAACTTTTAAAATGTGGTTAATTGTAGCAGTTAGTGACTTTAATATGACAATAGCCTTAATACATAATAAATATCGTTTATTGCATAAAAAGAGGAGAAAAGAACACAAAAACTTCGCAATTCAAAAAAATCAAAATTTCAAACGGAATTTGAGACCAAAGAACTACAGTTTAATCGCTGAAACAAATAACTGGAAAATAGTGGAGAAAAAAAAATAGATTTTACTATAAATAATTTTCAATTATTGATGAGAAAAAAAGTTAGTCGAATATTTCAAAGAATAAAAAAACTTGGTAATAATATGCAAAATCGATCATAGAATATCCTTTTCGTAAGTTGTTAGAATCGCTCTGTGCATTTTTTAACAGCAAATATCGAATTTTCAATTAATTTTAGTAATTCTACAAGGTAGAATAATAGCAAAGTAGCTAGTCATCTTTCTTTTCGTTATCTAAAACTATGCATCTGACAGGAGTTTTACTTGAGTACTTTAATCTGAAGGAAAATTTTGAAACAATGTCATTCAAATTTTGATATTAAATTCCATTTCCATATTAATTTTTGCTATATAAACTTTAACAAAAGAGTTAGACTTATTACTAAAAATTTATTTTTGTCAATTAAAAACACACACGTCTAGGAAAAATTACAAATGTCATATCAGTGTATGCAACTTTGAACTCATGCTATATACAGACTATATTAATTTTCTTATTTTCAATTTAGTTTAACTTTCTACAATATCTTGGCTATATGTAATCCAGGTTTCATTATTATAGTCTATAGGAATTTGAAACAAGACAGCTCATTTTATTATTATGGATGCATACATACAACGTTTCATACTTTTACTTATTTGTTTAATTCCATCATTTATTTGTTTTCTTCTTTTTGCTGAGAACTTGAGAAATAAGTCATACAAACCTTCATAATCATGTAATTATTGTACTTCTTTTCTGTAATTTCATTCTTATTAGTACGGAATTACCAATTACTTTGGTTTATTCTTATTAAGCTCATGTTCAACCTGAAAGTAATCAATTTTGCTCATTTTAGGTAGCTCATAATTATGGTTTATATGATATTGGTTTGTATCTTATGGCTTTTGGATCTATTGAAAGATATTTTCTCATTTTTCATGAAAGATTTATACATAAATGGCGTTTCATTATTCATTATCCTCCAATTCTCATTTGCTTTATTTATTCATTAATATTTTATAATTTAATGGTCAGTCTCTATCCATGTGAGCATGTTTATTATTATGATGTATATGTTTGTGGAGGTGCTTGTTTTCAATTTCAAGTAGTTATAGGTACTTTGGATTATCTTTTTAATGTAGTTACTCCAACTGTTTTTATAATATTGGCTAATATGATTCTTTTGTTACGTATAACATATCAAAAGCGAGCAATGAAATTAGAAAATACATGGAGAAAATATCGTTTGATGTATGTACAACTTGTATCTATTTCAATGTGGTATTTTATTATTTGAATACCATTTGTCATTATATCACTTATTCGTCTATTTTATGATCCATTATTTTTACAAGATGTAACAATGCATATGATTAATTATTGTCTTTATATATGTCCACTTGCTTCACCGTTTATTTTTCTAGTTGGTTTGCCGAGAGTACGATGACATTTACAGACAAATAATTGGCATATGCCATGGAGGAATCGCATTGTTCAAACTCGTATTAGACCAACAGAATCAATGAACACACAAGCTGGACAGCAGCAGATTATGCCACGTAGACAATATGGTGAACATAGTTTGTGGTTGATGAATATTACATAGAACAATAGTTAATATATATTAATTGAGATTTTCTTTCAGCTGTTTAGACTTTAAATAGCAATAAGGACATTTCAGTTTGAATTATATATTTTTATGCTATATTTTAATCCCAATAAAAAATTTAATGTCAGTTGCCATTTGTTATTTATCATATCTATTATTTAACTGCAGTTTTATAAATGACATTTCATTTTATTGGAATCTATTTCAAAAATTATATTTGAGTAAACCTTTAATAAGCATGATCAACATCTAACATGATCGATAGTATTGAAAATCTTTAAAAAAAAAATTGATATGATCCAATGGACTTCTTATTCAACTCGTCGCATCACAACAAATCAGAGCGATTCAGAATCAAGTCAACAAATACTTGCATTAACTTATCAGTGTAACTAAAAGATACTAGTATAAACATATTTAATCATCAATACATATGTTATTAAACTGTTTTGTATTCAAGAACATATTTTATTTATAACTATTAGTTAAACAAAATGGAATCTAAAATTTGTATTGCCAAACATATTGGTAATTTTTAACATGTTTTATCTTTAATTCATTTTTGATTTACTGTTGTCAAATAGAATTTACTTGCGCTAACATATAAAAATGAAAGCTAAACAAAAAAGTGAAATTCAAAACTTATAAAATTAATTGAAGTTACAAGACCAAAATCAAGTTTTTTTTTGTCAGATGGATAACTACTTTTCAAAGTTTATTTTCTTGACCAATAATCAAAGAATTCAACTGATTAAGTAGATGAAGAACAATGTTTTCAAAGATTAAATAATACTAAGACGACAAATATACTACTATACACTTCAAAATGTAATGTGCTTCACTATTTTTTGAATAATTTTTGATAAGAACATCATAAAACTCAGCGTTCTTCAGTATTTACGAGAGAAGATCAGAGGTCATCGAAATTTGATTGGTTAGCAATTAACGGATCACATGACTTCTTGTTAGAGAATTTTAAAACAATATTCTGAAGTTATTTCTCTTTTAATCTTTGCAAGATCGACATTCCCACTGTGTTTCACTAGAAAGGCATAAGGCTTTTCCTAAGACATCGAATTTCAGCCAATGAAACTGTGATAATTTGAAAAAGCAGTTAGACATGGGTAATTTACCAGTCGGAGTCGAATAATGATTTTTTTAATGTTCGAAATGATTCGACTTCAGTATCGCAATATTTCTAAAACATCATAATCAGTCTTCCTGTAATAACGGAGTTGACATTTCAAAGATAATCAGCTAACAGTGTTAGATTTGTTTCGAATTTGAAAACAAATATTACCATTCGACTCACTATGGTGAATTATCTCTACCTAGCTGTTTTTCTAGGTGATCACAGATTCATTGACTGAAATCGAGGATCTCAGGAAAAGTCTTATAAATCTCTAATGCATAAAGCTAGGAATATTGGTCTTGCATAGATCGAAAGAGAAATAGCTTCAAAATATTGTTTTCGAAAATCTCCGTCAAGAAATCATCTGATCAGTCAATTAATGGCCAATTAAATTTCGATATACTACGTTGGGCCTCCGGTTTTCTTTTTTTAATGATGAAAAACCACAGTGAAGCACATTATATTTTGAAATAGATTGTGATCGATTGATCTTTTCGTATTTCAATCGAATCCTCATTATGTTAGACTTTTAGTTTTTATTTGGATAATTTCACTAAGAAATAAAGCTTTGAAAACATATTAAGTTTATGAATATTAACAATAAATATTAAAAAAACGATTTTATGTTAGTAAACGATCAAGTTCAATGATACTTACTGTCTAAATAAGTTATTGAAATATTAAGGCAAGTGCTGATTAATAAAAATAATAAAATATTTAACAAGAAAATATTTGTTCTCCACCATCGACACGAATAATTTGTCCATGAACAAAATTCATATTAAGTAATTGAATAACAGCATTAGCAATATGTTCTGGTTTGTTAGTAACATTTTGTTCTGTTCCAATTCCTGGTGCAATACAATTAACTCTAATACCTAATGATTTTACTTCAGTTGCTAAACATCTCATATATTGATGAACCGCTGCTTTTGATACTGTATAAAGAGCACATTTTTCTTGTCCAATTAAAGCCGATGTCGAACCAATAATAATAACATGACCTTGATGATTTCGAATCATTTGAGGAACAATTGATTGACAAACAAGATGTGTTGTCCAAAAATTTCGATTTAAAATTGATTTTGTATCTGAATCACTTATTGTTAAACATGTATCATTACATATTTTACCTTCAGCTGCTGTATTTACTTCATTTGAATTAATATTTTCTCCATCACAACAAATTAAAATATCGATAGGATATTTAATATGATTAAGAACAGATTGAACACTTTCTTTTGTTGATAAATCACCCCAGACAGGTGTTATTTGAGTATTATTAGTTATTGTTGATAGTTCTTGAGCAAGCATTGTCATTGTAGTACCTTCATTTGAATGACTTGGACTATCATGATTTGTACCATGAATAACGACTTTTGCACCTTCTCTAGCAAGAGCAATAGCAATAGCCCGTCCTATACCATGAGAAGAACCTGTTACAAACGCAACACTATCGTTTATTTTTAATTGCTTTTTATCATTATTATTAACTATTGGTAATAATGATAGGGAATCATTAAGTAGTTTTGGTGCAGGAAGAGTCGGATCAAGTACAACTTTGATTCCAGAACTAATCAAACCCAATGCATTAGAATATTCTTCTAATGGTAATCTATGTGTTATCATTCGAGATAAATCACATTTTTTTAAAATTTCAAAAGCACGTGGCCAAGCATGTCGACCTAAGTTACAACCAACTATTGTTAATTCTTTTCCAGCTGATATAGCATTCCATGGAGCATCAACATGTATTTCTTTACATATTCCAACATGAACAAAGGTTCCACATTTACGAACAAATTCAAAACCAGCTCTAATAGAATCAGGTGAACCTGAACATTCGAAAAAAACGTCAGCACCATTTTGTTCACCAGACATTTTTCGAACAATATCGGCTATCGTCGAAACTGTTTTATCTGACAAATTAAATGTTGTACAGTTCTTAGCAATACATTTAGCTAAATCAAGTTTAAATTGAAAATAATCAAGACCAACTATTGATACGTCTGGATAATATGTCTCAATAGCAGCAATTAAACCCAAACCTATTGTACCACATCCAGAAACGACAACCTAAAGAATGTAAATATTATCAACTTTAGAAGCATCATATTCAAAAATGTAATTATTCAGAAAGACAGATCATTAGTTATTTTGAGTAACATATTCAAACTAACGAGAAAACGTCCTCAGATGTCTCCTTCTGATTTCAATGACTTTTTGCTTATAGATACTACAGATTATTCTGATTAACACTCTAAAATGATTTGGGCTCATATTGAGTTTTGATTAAGCTATCGAATTTTTAATATGTCGACTTCTTAGAAGCTCATGTACGACCTCAGATTTTTGGAGAAATTGTGTTTCCTAATTTTGATCTAAATCTTTTCGCATACAAATATAAGCTCTATTGCATGGATAGTGTATACAGTAAGAATGTCTTAAAAGCGTCGTACATTGAAGAGACTTTGTTCAAAGCTTTTGAATTTTTTTTTATGAAAGCTAGTCTGGTGAAATCTCAATGTATGCAAAGATCCAAATCAAAGTTCAAAAATACAATTTTTCTAAAGACCTGGAATTGTACAGAGACTTCTAGAAATAAGACATATTAAAAGCGTGATAGCTGAGTCAAATCTCAATAAGAACTCAAATCCTTTAACGATTTTTATTAGAACACTAAGTAGTATTTATAGGCAAAAAAATCATTGAAATCAAAAAGAAACATCTGAGGAGATTCCCTAGGAAGTGCACAGACAATATCTCATTTATAGTAATCAATATCAGATTTATTTATTCTTTGATTATACTATACGCTAAAGCTTCTGTTTGAACATTTCATAATCATTCATTAGAAGACGATTAAATATAAGTGCTAGTGAGTAATAGAAAAGTCTAAAATGATTTGATTTTTGCGGGTCTTCTTTCTTGACATATTGAAATTTTACTAAGTTTTTCAAAAACAACCAGTGATTCCCCTCAAGTCATATGGAAAATCGACTTTCAAGTTTCGACTTCAAACTTTGTATGAACAAAGTTCTTAATGACATTAGTTGTTTATATAAATTTTAGCTTTTCTACTATTTCTTTTCTGAAGATGTAAGCATATGAATAAAATTTGTTTTTACACATGAGAGAATTTCGAATATTTCACATCTCGCAATAGAGGATACTAGAAAAGTGACAACTTTTTCAATGAACTTCGTAATATCATGCAAAACTGTGTCCATGAAAATCTTGAAGTTGAAAATCGTGTTTTTTCATGTAATTTTTGAAAAATTCAATAAAAATTTCGATATCTTAAGAACAAAGACCTGGAAAGCTATGCCATTCTAGACTTTTCTATTAGTCATTAATTATCATCACATAAGCGTCATCTTGGTTGAAAAGTGATTTTATCCTTAAAGAGATTTCGTCATAAGTTATAATTTCACGAAGAAAAAGAACATTACTTTACCAGATCAGTTGGCTTTAAATGTGCTCGATCCATTGCATGGACAGAAACAGCAACCGGTTCAGCCAAAACAGCATAAGTTGGCGATAAGCCTTCAGGAACTTTATGTAGCCAAGATCCCTTTTTATAGATCATATATTCAGCCATACAACCATCAATACCTTGACCATAAATAACTAATTTATCACATTTATGTTCCATACCATTCTTGCAAAACCAACATTGATCTCGACAAGCTACAAGTTGCTCAGCAACAACGACATCACCGACGGAAATTGATTGATCGCGAGCTATCGAAGGATCGATATCAACGACTGAACCAATGAATTCATGACCAGGAATAACACCACGTCGCGCACGTCCACCGACTCCCCAGTAAAATTCACTACCTTCATACATTTTTAGATCAGAACCGCCTAAAATAATCAAAATAAAATATTTTCTGACAAAATACGAAATCTTACAAATTCCACTTGTCAATACTCTGACTAATGTTTCTCCATCTTTTATTGTAGGTATTGGTTTGTCAGAAATAAGTTTATAATCTTTTGGTCCATTTGCTATCACTGCTTTCATGTTAGTCATTGTACTTTATATGAAGTTATTAAAATTATCTACAAAATAAAATATGATTACAGAAGATCCAATGCAATAAAAAGTTTATTTTTTCAAAGACATTAATAGGTTTTATGTATATTATGACGTATTTGAGGAAAGGTATTGCGATCAAACTCAACAATGACATTTAGTTGACTATTTTATCGCTCTAGTCATATCTATATTACTACAAAACACATTCTTATATAGTAGTGGCATAAGAGAAGTGATAGAGAAACGCATATCGAAAAGATTAAGACTAAGAAAAAAATCATACTGAAAAGAAAAGTAAACCGCAATGATCATTTATCGTAACACTATTTAAATTTTACGCAAACACTTCATAGGTATTAGATTTAAAACGATATTTAAAAGATCTAAGAAACGTTATGTAAGAGTATTGTCTATTCCAAAAATATAGTCACCATGGGTATTTTTGGCATAACTGAAGAAGGAAAAAAGTGAGAGAATTGCGATTTTCACCATTACGTAGATTAATGAATGTTCTGCATATTCATCATTACATGTTGAAAATTCTTGCAAATTTAGGATTTCATTATCATCAACTTTTCAAAGAGTTTATCACGGTTTTATTCAAGTTCCACACGAACCTATATGTCTAAATTATGGAAAAGATAACCCGAAGACTTCTCTAGCAAATGTAATTCAAAAATAGCGCACATTTTTCTGAGGTTCATACAAGTGGATTTTCTAAACAGAAGTATTTGTGAGTTCATACAACAAAAAACATTTTTAATCAGGATTTGTTTTGCTTGATTTGCTATTATTAATCTCGAACATCTTTCATAATTGAGCATGAATTCAAAATATGTGATTAAATTGTAGAAAGATTTTTAAAAAGTGCAATTTTATGAAAATATATTGGAAAACGCTACTTATTTATATAAACGAACATTTTTAAAATTCTTATATGCTGTATTTAATTACTTCGTTTTGCCTTCAACACGTTGTTTTAGTAGTATTCTAGGAGTCATTAATTTATTTTCTCGTCAAGAGCTTGACCATTCAAGATTCCTCTTGCAGAAGTAAGATCAACAAAACTCCCAAAGATGAACGTATAAGAACGTAGATTGACTAACTACTATATTACAAAAAGTCGATTGGAATACACCTAAACGACACTCAAAATAGCTGTGCAACATAGTGAAAATAGTACAAACTAAGTATAAACTGTGTATAAGAATTAAATGTTCATTTATATAAATAAGTGACGTTTTCCAACATATTTTAATAAAATTGCATTTTTAAAAATCTTTTTACATTCTAATCACAGATTTTGAATTCATGCTCCTTGTGCATACTCTAACTCTTCATGTTCAATAATGAAAGAAGTTCAAGATTCAGAATAGCAATTTTCGTAAACGAAATTATGATTAACAATGTATTTTGTTGTATGAACTTACAAATTATTCTATTTAGAAAAACCACTTCTAAAGGCTTCCTATCTTCTTCATAGTTTTGGCGTATTAGGTTCGCGAGAAACTTGAAGAAAAACCATGTGAAAAGTGGATGATGATGACAATCTAAAACTGCAAGAATTTCCGGCATATCATGATGAATATACAGAGCACACATTTACGTACGTAATTGCACAAATCGCAGCTCTCTAGCTTTTTTCGCTCTTGAGTTATTTCGACAATACTAGCGGTCATTGTATTTTTGCACAGACAGTAGCTCAAGGTTATAGGCGTTAAATTATCGTTAATTTTATTCTTTATAAAATTTCCATTACTCAGATAGCGAAAATTTTAAAAATAATAAAACTAATAATAACGAAACAAAAAATATGACATAACACACTACATAGAAAGATTAGATAAAGTGCTGATACATAAATGTTATTGAAATGATCAAAAGTTACTTTGTAGATGTTCTCAGAAACGTTGACTGAATAAAATATAATAACTTACCAGAAAAATGTTACCGATTGTAGCCGCCATTCTTTGTTTACCTTTTCCTTAACTAACAGAACAACCGTTTCTCACATTGATCATAACGACAATGGCAAAAAAACGGTTTCCATTGGACTTTGTCTTGCCTTCTTGAGCTGTAACCATATATACAATGGTGTCAACTCTATCTTCTTATAAGAATGGATAAAAATAGCAAACTATCCTAGTTGTTGTTGCAGAATAAGGACATCCAAGTCAGAAAACATAAGAAAATAGAACATCAGAAAAAAATAAGCGCTTGTTCTCTCCAAAGAAAACGACTTATTTTATCACTCTTACTCCTTTTTATTTCTATTCAAAAACCGGAATGTGATCATTTTTGAAACCATGCCATGAATAGTTACAATACCGTTGAAAGAGAATAGTAATATGAATAGAGAAATACGAAAAAAGAAAATATTTTTCTTCTGCAAAACAACCAAACTTAGCATTGGAAAGTCACGACAATTATCGTAGCAGTAAGATTATCTGCTAAAATTTCGACACAGAATAATACTTCATATACTCAGAAATACGCTTTCTCGTATTTTAAGTAAAGTACAAATTCTTCTTTTTTTGTACTTGAATGGAAGTATTAGTATGCTTCGTAAATGTTTGCACGTACATTTTAAAAATTTTTATTGAAAAAGTAAAAATGCCAATATAATCGCACTCGTCTGTCGCGATCAATTCGCCTGAAGAAAACATATTATAAAAAAAAAACAATTCGTCTTTTGTTTTCGCAAGACTCAGTGAAACAAACAACTAAAACAAATGCATAAAATCGGGTTGCAATTTTACGTTGTTTGTCTGACTGGGTAGAACACAAGACTCCAGTTAAACTGGAATTAGAATACATGTACATAATAACTCAATTTTCTCCAGTATGCCATGCATAGAAAATTTTCCTCATATTCAAATTCTTTCGTTAAACTTCTATAAAATAATTCATTGCACTCGACTAACACATGGCATGAACAATAATCTCCAACAACTTGTACTAGACAATCAGGATGCGTGAATTTGAAAAAGCGTGAGTCTTTCAGAATTCTTCAGCTAAATTTCCTTGATCTTTATTTTTGGTAAGATAAAAAAAAACAAATATAAAAACGCTAAAACACACATTTCTATGACTCTACATAATCTATACCTTCCTTGCTTATTCGCTGGTTTGATCACAAATATTGTTTGGTATTGGGCTTATGAATTACATGCCAGTGTTCTCTCACGTTTGATTTTCTTTCGTTCTGACTCTCATTTTCTTTTCGTAATCACTAATATAAACTGTGTCACATATGTCGCTATTAGCAGCACAGTCTACAACACATTATAATACAGCGCGAGGTGCTTGCTACTACGTATTTTGTTTTTGCAACATGTTTTGCACCCATCGCTCGAATATGTCCTTCGGTGCGTGTGATTTTTTTTTCTTAAGAAGCAATTAAAGACACTTCATATTCTTGGAGTTCAACAAGGAAAAATCTTGAAATTTAGTCAAGACGAGTCAGTTTAAACTTGATCCGGCTACTTTAAAGTAGTCGAATCTCAAATAATGACTAATCGTGAACGTATCTAAAATCAAATATACGAAAAAGTTTGAGTTCAGCATACTCAATGGAATTAATTATATGCATCACTACCTGAAATGCTAAATAGTGAATGAATGTTTCAGAGATGAGATATCAATAAAGCAAAGCATTCTACTGTTACACAGCTTTGTGGTAGACCTTGCAACACCACTACTAGCGACACAAATATGATAAATTTTATTTGAGTATCTACGTGTGCATTCATAACTACACAATTCCATAGATAAATTCAATTGTTACAAAATATCGTCTTTTGTTACTCTTTCTGTTCAATTTAACTGACAAAATAAAAATATAGAAAAAGGATATCTAGTAGTTTGACTCATGGTTGAGTGGTTTTTTGAATAATACTCAATGAAATAGTCGCTACTGCAAGTTAATTGACGCAGCAGTTGAAAAAAAATAACGACGTAAATAATAGTCCTGAACAGTAATAAAATGTACGTTTATATTATCTTCAAATCATTCTATATAATTCTATCTTTCTATTTCGATGAGTATTATTTAGACTCATCACGAGAATGAATGATACAAAAAATAATAATAAATTACGTGCAGATACCAAAATGTGTAAGAAAAAAAGACGAAATATTTACGAAAATATTATTATTCTTTCTGTTTCTTTTTTTCTGAATAATTTTTTTTCATTATGTAAAATATTCTTTTTTTAGAAATCATTGTTGAAATAATGGCGCGTCATATTTCGTTAAAGTGCAAAAGAGTATTATATCATTGATTTGAAGAAAATCTGAAATTGCATTCCGTTGCAATTTGACAGTAATTATTTTTTTCGTTATTCAGCTGTATTTCGAAGATTCAAAGTATATTCATTTTTTTCGAATGTGATCTTTGAGTTTGATGAACATTTATGTTCGAACAACGCGACTTCCATTGATAGAGCTCATTTTAAAGAAGATAAAAAAACATTGATTTCAATGACTGATTGATTCAAAAAAAACAAAATTTCAATAGAGTAGCTGATATTATTTTTGTAGCTTGTTTGTTTTCTTATATGTATATACTTTTCTCAGCAACATGTGAAAACATATTGATAATAATAAAACGTACCTGAACTGATCAGATTGAAACACTAGGAAAATGATGATGTTTATATCGAATTAAGACTTATTTCAAAAGAGATTGTAATAAATAAAAAAACAGTATTTGTTTTTGCGATAATATCAACTAAATTTATACCAAGTAAACTCTTGATTCGGTGATAGAAAAACAAAATGTTTAACCTTTCTAACAATTGTCTTTGTATCAATGATTTGATTCTTCTTTGATACTTTTGACATACTCGAGAGGCAATGCCAATCGACGTGAGAACATAAGGAGAATATCAGAGAGAGAAAGAATTTTATATTTATATGAATATGCGAGAGTGTAATAGAGAAAAAATAACAACACAAAAATAAAAATACCAAAGCGTGTAATATGTGATTAG